GTCAGGGTGACAATGGATGTGTTTTCCCTCCCCTCATCACTCAGTATTCTTTACTCAAGTCTAAATTATGTATCTTTCTAAAACACCATTCCATACTTCAAAGATGGATTTTTTTGTGCTGAATCAGGAGATGATAGATGGAAATCCTGTGCCTGCACTGTGCACAGGCAATACAGCCCCTAGTCCAGTTTGGTTGTGAATAAGCTTATAGGTAAGGAAATGGGATTTGAAACAGGAAAAGAACAAAAAACGAACAGCTGTGCTCATGCTGCTATCTCAGTTTGTCCACTGGTGGTTTAAATTTATTTTCTGCTGAAAACAGGGAGTGTCCAGTAGTTGTGTCTGGGCTTTGGGTTGTTTGAGGCTGCAAAGCCCTGCTCTGGTGCAGAGTTTTGAAGGGGGCAGTGGGATTGGTAGTGGAAGTGTTGGATGATTGTTTCCTCAGGAAGGAAGTGAGAAGACAGGAGTGGCTGAAAGACAGATGGGTTCCTAGAACAGCATTACTACAGCTTCCTTGGCAGCTGCTTCCGGAGGTCATGTTGCTGTCAAGTATTTATCTGAGGGAACATTCTAGTATCTAAATCCATAAAGTTGGCTATTCTTTAAAATCTAGCCCATCTCCACTTTTGCTTTTCCTAGAGGATTTCTTTAAGGATGTTTGTGTTGTACTATGAAAAAGAGGGCCTTCCTTCAGAAGTGGAAGAAATGCCCTGGACCACAATGCTAACGTAATTATCTACCAAGAAGAAAGCTTAGCCATAAGATATTGTAGGTATGGCAGCTGCTTCAGTTATCTGCTAATGTGCACACTTGTTCTATCTTAAACAGCACAGTGAATGCAGTTCTGTGATTGCTGCAGAATAGGCTTTTAGCCCTTCATCTTTCTTCATGGAGAAAAACACTTGATTTTTAAGGTGTCTGTCTATATACTCAGTTGTTTGGGGTTTTTTGAAATGTGTCTATCAGAGACTGTTATCCAAAGAAGTTTAGTGTAATGTCTGAGTATGCTTAAGGCTTTGTTTCCATGCAGGTAACTAAGGCAGCTATAAAACTGGAGAGGTATGTTCATTCCTGTGAGCTATTGAACTGAGTCACCTTGACTTTTCTTGTGTTTTCTGCCATTGCTCTGTGCTGTCTGTCTCTTTTAAACCCCTCTTCAAGAGCATAACGCTTCTCATTGCAGCTTTGGCTGTCCTGAACTTCCCTTGATCTGATCAGGCTTACTTTTGCTACTCACTGCTTCAGCATGGCTTCTGTCTCTGAGTAGATTTCAAGATGTATTTCTTACAGTTGGAGGTCATTATTTTTGATGGCACACTTCACCTAGGTCTTTCTGGGTACCTAAATTAGTTTTACCATTTGAACATTGTGCTTGTTTTGGCTTTTGTCCTTCAGCAGTAGAATGGACCTATTTGTCCATCAGGGGCATTCATTAATATGAGGAAGGAGTCTGCCAGAAACAAATTAGTTGGCCAGGAGAGCAAATAAAGATTTTTAGCCAGGACAGAGAGATACCTCAGTGCCTCATCTTAGCTTTACTGTCTTTACAATAGCTTTGAATTCTCTGGAAAAGAGCAAATATGTCACTTCTATTTAGTTCATTATTCATTTGGTAAAGGTACTGACATTCCACTTCCAAGCTGAGGATTTTTCTGTTGTGGTGTAATTTTTTCTCATTCAACTATTATTAGATCTTTAAAAACATTCTAGGCTTCTCTTCCCATCCTCTAGGCCCCACGAGTAGTGATCTGTTTCTGTAGTGAGCTTGAATCTGCCCTTAGTGGAATCCTCTTAGAACATTCAGCAATGGGTCCCTCTGTTGTCAGTTCCCAGCATAGCCCTTTTGTCTTGTTTTTACTCCTAGGACAGTAGGAGTGAGCAAGTACCTAGTAGTCTAATAAGGGTGAATCAGCTGCCTTTTAGGAGTTTATCCTTAAATTTAATCTCATTGTACTTGTTTGAATCACCCGTGGGTTGAGCTCTGCTCTCCTAATCAGTCTTTGGAAAATGTGCTGTGGCTGATATACCTTGGGGAGCAAGGAGTTGCAATGTTTGATTTGAAGGCTATTTCTTAGTTGTGGGGTGTGGCAATTCTTTTTGTGTACATTTGAGAAGGCTTGAACACTTGGATATTAGGTGTGCTGTATCAAATTTTGACTAAATATCAGCTTCTTGCAAGGGCTCTTCACCTTCCTTCACTAAGGAAATATCACAGGATTATCAATTTCAGTTATGGAAAACTAAAGCTGTAACAATGTGGCTTGATGCAAAATACTTGAGGTTTAATTAGGGTTTATTCAGCCAGAGCTAGGCCACACAAATGATTTCTTGTATGAAGATTCAGTGGCTGAAATGCACAGAACTGCTCATTGGGGCTGAGAGACCTTTTTAATAACTGCTGTGTCTTTAGCTGGTCCTCCATGATGCTCCAAGACCTTGAGGATGGCAGGCCTGACTCCTGAGCCCTTCTCCATGTTTTCTGCCACTTAGGAGTGTCCACAGTATGTATGCATGTAGGAAAACATTTCAAGAAGGTTGAAGAGGGTCCTGTAAGTGCTCCTTGAAAGTTGTGATGTATAGATTCCTAAACCATCTCTTACTCTCTTCCCCAGTGCTTCAGAAGAAATGGGGATCCTTTGGTTGAGAGGAACAGAGGAGAGAATAGTATATTCCACCCCTTTTATAGCCTATAGGTGATACACCTAGGGGAAGAGCTTACCCCACGGCTTTCTTGGACACTTTAGAAGTAAATTTTTCTGATTTGAAGTGCTTCCATCTAGGTACATGGAGATAAGGCATCTGGGAGCTCAATTTAATTAATACATTTCCCTTTGCTGTACAGCATCTGTGTATATCAGCATTTGTCTGTGAATGTGATGATTGCTCCTGACAGTCATTCTTTAGTAGTGTCAATATTATTGCCCTCCTCTTTTTTTGCAGCAGATTTTAAGGTTTCTTTACCGTTTACTCATGTACCAGATTTCATATGAACTACTACAGAAAAGAGGAAAACTTTACTCAGTCTTTTGGTGATCATGCCACTTCTGGACTTTCATTTGCTAGTGATCAGCAAAACATATATTGCAGAAGTATTGGTACGTTAATATTATGCAGACTAGTCTTTTCTAGGTCTGCACTTTTCTAGGTGCTTCAAGTTATGTTAGAATCAAGCATGCTTTGGTTGGGCCCCAGCCCTGTGTGTTTCCATTAGCCAGGAATGAGCTCTGGCTAATGCCACATGTGGTTATTTCTCTTTACAGTCTCATACCAGGTGAAAATAGGAAGAGAGCAGACTAGTATAAGTTATCTTTGTAATTTGCTCGAAGTAGCACTGGGTATCAGCTATCCAAGAGTGTTGCTCCCTCAGGGAATAATGTTCTTGCATCAGTTTCATTCTCAAAAAAAAAAAAAAAAAAAAAATCCCAAGCTATCACTATAGAAGCTTTCCACATAATCTGTCTCTCTCTCTCTCAATTCCTAGAGACTCACTGACGCACTTGTGAGTCTTGTGAATGGTGATTTTTCTCCCCAGCTTGGGGGCTTGGTCTTAATTTCCACATCCTGTAAGGAGTTGTGAACCTAAATATATAAATGTGTTATGTAATAACATAATTTTTGAGTCTTTATGATTTGATACTGTCTATAAAATCTGTCTGTCAGATGACTTTATTTAGGGAAAAACTGAAGGGAGACTTCTTATTCCTAAGTAGATCATCAAAGTTAAAATGGGATTAAAGAATATTTAGTGGAAAAAATTGGGATGTGGAGTAGCTGTACCATTTTTGTGTAAGACACTTATGCAACATTTTTGCAGATAATAATTTAATTTTTAGTGGGAGTTTTATTAAATTTCCTGTATTGGCAAATGTTCTAAGATACATGTAAATGTTGTAGTCTAATAGCAATTAATTTATATAAGGCACTCTTTCTTCTATATGCTTCTTCATGGTAAAAATAATGAACTTGCATCAGTAGGATTTGAGATTTGTTTTTACAAAACTCACTTTCTCCCTCTGCTGAACAAAACAAGCCTTCTCAGCTTTGTTTGCTTTCCTTCCTCTTCTCTTTCTTCCTCCTACACTTTGGGTGTATGGGTTTCGATATGTGTGCAGTTTTTCTTTCTGCTGGCAAGTCTCTGCATTAAGTGTCTGGAGTAGACTACACTTAACTAGTCAATGCTTTTTCAAAGTGTACTGTTAAAATCAAGGAGCTGAGCAGGATGCTAAGCTATTGAGCCAAGATGAACTTGCCAAATGCAGCAGTTAGTGTGTCTGCTCTGCACTCCTTCACTGAGGTTTCCACCTCCACAGCACCATTGGCAGAAGGGGGTGTGTGAGTGCCTTCACCACAAGCTTATGCTGAGAGAGTAGGTCTACAGGCAGATACCAGACTGTTCCCTGGCAGATGTCTCTTTTCTTCCCCCATCTTCACTGTGAATGAGTTAAGCTCTGACAGGGAAGCTCATCAGGTTAGGCTTTGACTCCCTAACTGCAACACCAGTAGTGATGGTGTGCATGGGAAATTTATTGTTTGCTTTTAGTAAAGCCACTAATCTGAGTTTGATAAAATAAGTATTTACAAAAACCTAATTCTTGACTTCTGAGTTCTGGTTTTAAATGTGCTAATTAGCCCGTGGCTTTAGGTAATTAATAGTTCACAAGTGCAATACTTACTAAGGTGTCAGTGTAAAATAATTACCATGGGTGAGATTGCTTCCTAATACTGTTGCAACAAATAATTTAGTTACCCTGAGGAGAAGCACTCTTATTAATATGTATTGGTGTCACATTGTTGGAAAGCTGAGCAGTTCTTCCCAGTGCTTGCTGCATGCAAGAGTTGTGTAGCTGGAAATGCAAGATTTGGCAGCTGCTTCTAAATCCAAGTGAAGTGCTGAATGCAAACTCAGCCTACCAACAGGTGAAAGACTTCAAGAGGAAAGTACGTGGTTGTTGGTCATTTCTTCAGCAATTCTTCTTTACTTTTGTCTTCATACAATGTAGGCAAGCATTGCCAATGATCCTTGGTCCAGCTGGAACGTTGGGAAGTCTGGGAACTGGGATAATGGAAATGCTGTTGACAGCTGGGCAGTGAAACCTGAAAGTGCACCTGGCCAGAGAAACAGCGCTTCAAATAACTGGGAGGCAGCAGCAGCATTTGGTCATCCACAGGCATATCAAGGACCAGGTGTGCTAATAATGCTCTTTCTTTTCCTTAATAAATTGGAGTAGGTGGGCAGTAGAGGTAAGAACTATTTAATTTTTCATAACTATAGACCATGGTTTATTTAAGAAAACAAAACCAAACCAGTTTCCTAACAGCACATTGCCATGTGGGTAAGCTGGACACTAAATTAGTAGGGGTTCAAAAAAATTAAATAATTTTCAAAAAAATTGGTTCCACAATAACAAACACCGCAAACTTTTATGTAAATCTGACAAACCAAAGTCTTTTACATACATGATCTATTCCCAGGCATGTTGTTCAGCTTGCATAACAAACTTTTAAACTCCCTTGAATTTGTGCTCTCAGGCCTTTGAAGGAATAGTCTCTTAAATTTTAATTTTAAGAAGTGACTAGCTTTTCAGAAGGCTTCTCTACCTTTTTTAGTAACAGCCTAAATTAAGGGGAGAACCCATAACTGGGGAATGCTAACTTGGAGTCTATGAATATGGAACACAATTGAGTTCATCTTAACACACCATCATCTCTTCCATTTTTTTTTTTCTTTATTTTCTTCTCCCTCACTGGATTTTTAGTGCACTGCTTTGCAGGTTGTATTTGATGGAGATAGTGGTAATTGAGAAGGAATAGTAAAGTAGAAGGCTGAAAGAGATTTTAATATATTTACTTGGTTGATTATTTTTATGTGAGTGCTGAAGTACCTGCTTCTGTTTTTGAAGAGAAATTATGTAACTTTCTCCTTTCGCTGTCCCCTGATCCCTCCTGTACTTCAGCAGCTGCTGATGACGATGATTGGGATGATGACTGGGATGACCCAAAATCAGCGTCACCATCTTACCTTGGTTACAAGGAGACGGAGGCATCAGAGGCTGGGGGGGTCCAGCGTGGGAATTCTCGTGCAGCTGCTATGAAGTTACCACTGAACAAGTAATGGAAAATACAGGGGAAATGTGTATATATTGAAGAGAATTGGAATTTGTCAAGATGTGTAAATTCAACATCCTTGAAATAAGCAATGTAAATTACAGTTTTGGGGCAGAAGAGAAGGTGGATTTGTAGTTCAGCATATTCCTTAAGCAAGCAGTGGATGCAGATCCCTGAAATCTTAAAACTACATGACAAAGCTGTGTAATTTTTGAAGGTGTCATACAGGGAGATGACACTTTCACAGTGCCTGAGCTTCAAGTCTTTGAAATTTAACTGTCGAAGGTGGTGGATGACTTGTCCATACAGTAGAAACTGATCAGAGATGTTGCCCAAGAGTTCTTGAGCAATCTGAGTTTCTGGTGGGGAAAAGTTCTGTTCTGTTGTGTTTGTACATCTTCCAAGTTGATTCTTGAGCCACAGAAAGTTTGATTTTATAGATAAAAATCCTACAGTAGCATCAAGTTTTTTCAGGGTTATACTAGCATTGTCCCATGTTGTGGCTTAATGTTTGTTTGTTCTGAAGCTGCTGTTACTCTGAGAACTAGTGTGTGGTAATCTCTGAATGGATGAAAGCAGAATGGAAAAAGATTCTAGAATAATGGTTCCTTGGGTATCTTAACTAAAATCAACAGTCTCTGCATGACTAGTTAATTTTGTTCATCAGTGGGTTTTTATGTACAGTGTTGCATGAGTACCTGCACATCATTGTTTACTTGTTGTAAACTCAGAAAAATACCTTTTATAAGAGATTTTTTTTGGTCCATGGAGTAAGTCCTGCTTTACTGCTCATGTTTCTGCAAGCAATTTGGCAGTACTGCAAGGGCTAATTATCTTCCTAATTAGAAAGAGGAAACCACCATTTACTTTTTATAAGAAATTTTGTTAGACTTTTAGAATATTATAGTGATTGTTTGGCTTCCTTTTAATTGGTGGATAAATTATTTAAGATAACTCATGTTTGGAAGCACTTGGTCGATCTTTTGTTTACAATTCTTTCAGATTATTGAATTCTTGTAATTTGAAATCTCAGGTGCATGAGCATCTGTCTGTGTGTGGTGTTTCCAGAGAGGGTGGGGCTGCAGAGGAGTGATAGATGATACTTTGTGACCTCCTGTTATGTTTGGTATGATAGTCAGCAGAGCAGGAATAACAACTTTGCTCTGCAATAAGGAGCCTATTGCACACACAGACACACACAAAAAAACTGGATGTCAGTAGCCAAGATTCTTCTGCTTTTTTCCATGCAAAATGTTGACTGTTGCAGTAATTCACATAAAATTTTCTATATTTGAGAAATATTTAGGGTTTTTTTCCTGTAATAGCTGGTAGTTCTGCATATGTCAAAGAAAGGAGGATTAACTTATCACTTCATTTTATTGTTAGGTTTCCTGGATTTGCAAAACCTGGAATGGAACAGTATCTGTTGGCAAAGCAGCTAGCAAAACCCAAAGAAAAAATTCCCATAATTGTAAGCTGGGGTTGTGTATAATTTTTCTGTGTGGGAGGTATGGGTTTTTTTGGTTTTCTTTTTTTGGTTGACTGGGTTTTGTTGGTTGGTTGGGTTTTATAATGCTCCTCACCTTTCCCTGTTTTCTTTACTGAACTTTTATCCTCAAGGTTGCTATATATATTTGGGGCAGAAGAAACTGATAATGAACACATAATTAGAAATGGAACTGCCATATTAAAAATTATAAGTGTGATGATGATTATTCTTTTCAGTACTTTTTTTCTCATGCTCTATCTATAGCATTACTTGTGATGAACAAATGCCTTTTTGGGATTGGGATGCAGAGCAAATGCATTACACTGTCTATTCATTATCTAGATAGTTACATGTAAGAGCTACATTTGTAGAGGTTTGCAATGCTCAGTCCTGATGGTCAGGTCACTTTCTGATCTGAAAACCAAACTCTTCGGTCTATATGCTGTTCTAGCAAAATGTGATTAAAATAGTCCTAGAATTCACCATTCATTTGTTATTTGTGAAAAATTGTAAAATACACAAGATAAAGTCAGCTGCGGTCTTTTGTCCCTGACTGCCAGAAGCCTCTCTGTTTCCAGACTCTCAGCCTCTTTCCACTGAAATCAATGGAAGCTCTCAAGTGAAGAGAGAAGATATGTATCCCCTTGTTTGCAGCTTGTGCAACATGACGTACTAAAAGATAATATTTGCAATTTCTTACAGATTGGTGATTATGGCCCAATGTGGGTATATCCTACCTCTACATTTGACTGTGTGGTGGCAGATCCCAAGAAAGGTTCTAAAATGTATGGTCTCAAGAGCTACATTGAGTATCAGCTGACCTGCACTGTAAGTGTATCTGAAACAGGATCTTTTGCCTCACAAATATGTTCATTTGTACATAAAAATAGAAATCGTGTGACTTGGTAAGGGCATTGTAAGAGTAAGTAGTAGTTGTCATATTTTTTTACCCCAAGGATTTGCTTTCTTCTAGAATTTCAAGTTCTTCTATATTAAGGCTCTAATTCATAAATTTTGTTTGCATTCCATGTGGTTACCATTCTGGTCATGCTTCTTTCATGTGACTGTGTGTAGTTGCCTGTCCAAGTTCAGAGTTGTGTTTCTCTTCCAGAACACTAATCGGTCTGTCAACCACAGATACAAGCACTTTGACTGGCTGTATGAGCGGCTCCTGGTTAAATTTGGATTAGCCATTCCAATCCCTTCTCTTCCAGACAAGCAAGTAACAGGTGAGTATTCCCAGTTCTGAATTCATGGGAAATAAGGAAATCAGATTTTTATAAGGTTCAGTTATTTCTTACTGTTTGTTTTTCTCATTATTTTTAAATAAGGTATCAAAGAAACCCCTACCTTTCTCCACTCAAAACTTATGATGAGTTGTTATGACTGGTTGATAATAACAGATCAATACTAGGAGAATCACTTTTGCATTTGATTGTACATGTGTTATGTTGTAGGAGCTTTGACACAAAGTTCCCAGAGGAAAGGGAGCATCCCCTGACTGGTTGGGATGGCGATTTTTTACTTCCAAGTGAAATGTCACAGCTGTTTCTCCTCTTGCTTGATTTCACACTTGATTTAGAAAGCATCTTTCATTCATATAGTGTTCTGCTCTGGTTTGATGTCAGTTCAGCTTGACCCAACTGTCTGAAGCTTGTGGAAATCTTTTGTTCTGAATTCAAGAAAAATGGGATTGGGTCCTTTAAATGCACCTACATTTGGTCTTTGCAACAGAATGCCTATGCCACAATGCCTATGAAACAATACCTATGCATTTTCAAGCAGTCTCTGGCTTCCTTTCTACAAGTGTATGCTAAAGTGTATGTGAAGGAAAGAATGGACACCTGTATAGGAGGAAAATGCTTTACTTTAGCCCATTTCCACTTGTATGTTTTCTGGGAAACTTATACAGCATTTAAGATAAACAGCCAAAACAACATATAAGCACCGGCATGTTGCCAACCACGTGGCCATGGGCATCACTCAAAATGCAGCAGCTCTGCTGTGTCTGAAGAAAGCTGAGCATTGATGAAGTTGCTGGGATAAATGCCGAGGAAACTGAAAAGTGAGGAAGTGACTTCTTCCCCTTAGCCTCGTGTTTAGAATTGACCAGCATTTCTATTAAACATGTGCATGTCTGTTAACAGGAAACCAGAAGACATGATGGGGTCCCTAGATTTCATTGTAACTCTATCTTAAAAGACCCAAGAGTCTGGCATCACACCTTGGCAAAATCCATTGCCTGTGAATTTCTGTATTCTGGAATCTGTGGGAGAGAAAGCCTTGCCTCATGCAAAAAAATTATAATTAAAAAAAAAGCATGTCTCTTGCCTCATGCAAAAAAATTATAATTAAAAAAAAAGCATGTCTCTTTTTCTGAAACATGAGGAAAAAGAGTGCTTATCTTTCACTGTGTTTAGGAGGCTTCTTTCTGAACACTGTCTACAAAAGCATTTCTGTCAATTTGTCTTGACAGAACAAGACTCCCAACTGACTTTGTCAGGATCCTGGTTTTAATGATACACTGGTGATGATATGCTTAATGATCAGCATGTAACTTGCAGCTGCTGCTGTTCTGGTGTTCTGCACTCCTTGCAGGAATGCTGTGGAGATTTCTGTATAGATTAAAAATTAAGCAAAGGATTACTGAAGGGTATAGAATGTCTCTTCCACAGTGTTTGTTTGTTTTTTTTTTTGCTAATTTGCAGGAAAAATATGCATACACAAAGTTCATTTTTCATTACTTCTGTTATTTACCTGCTATTCTTGCTAGTTTCCATATTTGCAAAAAAACTAAAAACCCAAAAAAACCCAAAACCTAAACTACAAGCACCTCAGCTTTGTAGATCTGCTGCCATAGTAACTGTGCAGTAGAATTATATTGAAACCGTGCATGTGTTCAAGGCTTGTCATCTGTGCTGCTGTGGAAATCAGAGGAGCTGGGTGCTGGAGGAATCTCTCTTTCCTTACAAATCCCCTTCCCTGTATGCTTTAGAAGTCTGATGTCATGCATTTTTTTTTTTAATTAGAAAGGATTCTCTCAAGAAAACAGTTTCTACTTAAACAAAAATGAATACGCAGTGATGATGCATTACTGATTTAAGAAAAAATGGTTACTTATTTAGTTTGTATTAAAAATATCTTAAGTACCAAAAAAATCAGTTACAGTCTTACACGTATGTGTATATTTTAACCAGTTTATGCATATTATTTATTGATTTTTTTATTTTTTTTCCACAATTTACCTATATGGAAGTATGTTTAAAGGAGGCACTGCTTTTTTAATCTGTGATTTGTGTTTGAGTAATTTCCAATATTTTTGAGCAATCCAATTTTAAGGTGTTTTGAGTTGTTTAATTTCAGTACTTTGTTAGCTTGCACATGCACTTGGATTGTAGTTCTTTTTTCTTCAATGTTTTTAAACCTCATATTGACCAAGACTTTACTAAACTGTACCAGAAGAATACTTTCATTCCAAGCCTGTACCTGGCTTTTCTCTTGGGTCATCTGAATACCTAGTTTTTCTGTCCAAAAGTTTGTTAGTTTTTGGGGTTTTTGAATGTATTTGAATTGGGGGTGGGTATCAGGTTTTTTGAATATTTTGTGGCTATCTTAAAAAGATCAGAACTCTTGATCAGTAATCAGTATTTAAAATCAATCAATTTAAGGTTCTTTTGGTTTTTTAGCATAATGGGCCATTTTTTTATGAGTTGGACTCAATGATTCTTGTGAGTCCATTCCAACTCAAGACTCTGTTATTTTTGTAAGTTCAGAGTCATGAAACTTTTAATAACTCACCAGATGAATTACAGGTTATTTCAATTTAATTTTTTTTAAAAAAGGAATTTGAAGGTGCTAGACTGTAAATGTAACAATTATTGTTCGATGTGTAACAGGGCGCTTTGAAGAAGAATTTATCAAAATGCGCATGGAGAGGCTGCAGGCTTGGATGACGAGAATGTGTCGCCATCCTGTTGTCTCAGAAAGTGAAGTTTTCCAGCAATTTCTCAATTTCCGAGATGAGAAGGTAGGAAATGAAATAAAGTTCTCACACAGCCTGAGATTAAGGAATTGGTGTCCCCCCACACTTCCCTTCAAACCAAGAGTTTGGCTCTGTAGCCGCCCCACTGTGGGCAGTGGTGATGGGCTGGAAACTGCTGGGATTCCTAACTCAGCTGATCGATCAAAACAAGGCATAAAATTGCTCCTGTGAAATGCCACACACCATTCCCACACAGCTGTGCTCTTCAAAGTAACTTTGTTGCTGTCTTTCTAGGCACAGTTTGTATCCTCCAGCAGAATAGGAAGATATATAAAACTCTTTTGGCTGTTGCCCTGCTGTGTCTCTGCTGGATTTAGTAATCACTGTGATCCTCTGAGTGTGCTGCTCTGCTAATAAAAGCTACTTTGTAGCATATCTAGGTTGTGCCTGTATTATATTTAAAAACAGCCCCCTGCCCCATCCCTATCCTTCAAAAGCACAGTTTCTCACTGAAAGAAAGCACTATGTTGCAGCCTTACCTGATATAGCCAGCCATTTTTTATTCACACACACACACACTTTATTATGCTTTTTTAAAAAGAGATTTTAATATCTTCAGTAAATGATAAATAAAGTAAGTAAACCTTCAGTAAATAATGGTTTCTTCATGATTGAGCTCCAGCTCTGTTACTAATTAGGAAATAAACAGAAACACTCTGCTGCTTTCTCCTCAAAATAGTCATACTTCTGAATACACATAGAATTTGCTGAAAAAGTAAATTATCCAGTCTGGTCTGAAAAATTTGCAAGGTTCAAATCCCCTGTGACTGAGGTCACAGCTGCCCAGTTTTGAGTCAGAGGTTGAACTACCAACCATACTTCTAACCAGAATTGTTCTGTGATCCTGTAAGTAGAGGCTTAATAACATATTAAATACTAGTCCTGGTGAAATGCTAGTTGGATGGTTTAGTGGGGAGTTGTATAATTCTGCCAGCTAGTCAGCACTTCTTAGTTTCTTATTTATAGATGTATAAACAGAACAGATGTTGCAATACATAGGTAATTTTTAACCACTAAGAACTTAGAATGATAATTGCATCATAGTTTCATGATCTTCTTGAGCAGCTTCTGATAGGAGACTTAACCTCTGTGTGGAGACAGCTGAATGTCATTGTTCTTACACTGTATCTCAGTAATAAACAAGAAGGGTCTGTTGACCCCAGAATATAGATAACAAAGTGCACAAAGAAGGAGGGGGAGAACTTTGGGAAACTGTAAAAAGCCTTGGCTCCTCTGAAGATTTCACTTCTTAATGAAAGGTTTTAATTCAGAGGTGGTCTGTTGATTAACGGTTCTTCTAAACATTTAATTCACTCCTTAAGCATGTGCTTTTAAAGAAGGGTGAGTTTTGGTCAAACTTTTTGTCTCTTTTCTTTTTTTTTTTTTCCTTTTTAAGGAGTGGAAAACTGGAAAGAGGAAGGCAGAAAAAGATGAAACTGTAGGAGTCATGATCTTTTCTACAATGGAACCAGAAGCTCCTGACTTGGACATGGTAGAAATGTAAGGTGATTTTTTTTTTTTTTTGTATGGGCATATGCATCTGGGTATACAACAGATGCTGAGATAATCCAAAACTCAGATACTAAGTGTCCATGTATATTCATGGATTTGAGGAGGTATTCATCAAGGCAGAGCTGAAAATTTGTTTGAATAATGAGATTTTCATATCAACCCCTCCAATACTTGCTGGAACTCTATCTGATGTCTTTTTGACCTCAGTGGCTGAATGGTAATCCTGAAACAATTTATGTAAAATTACTTGATGGGATAGAGTTCTATCAGATCCTATGGAGTTATGTTTTATTTTGCTGTGGAAGTGTGGTTTGATCTTTAATCTTTCAACAGTTCCAAAACATGCTAAGCTTACCAAGTAGCTTAGGATAATTGTAGATGGACCAATTAGCAGAGCAATGTTTCTGTAAAATAGTTGTATGTAATGTACACATAGTATGATTTGAATATCCGTAATCCATGGAAAGCTATTAAACATAAAAATTATTTAAATTACCAAATTTCATTTTGAAAGTGCAAATGTATATATTTCTTTTATATATGTGTATATTACACATACATGCACTTTTTAATGTATATTCTGTAGGTGATAAACCTTTGGGTTTCCCAAAGTTAAAGACTGGATTTACTATGCAGCCTTCATTTCACTCCTTTAGACTTAATAATTTTTCTCTTAGAAGATGTAGCATGTATGACATGCTTTTCTTACTGTTCTGGAACACAGAAGCCTGGCTAATGTTTTGTGTGTGTGGATGAACTGGACAGAAGTTTTTTTAGTGGCAAAGCAGTAGTGTATCTGCACCCAATACAGGCTTTATGCAAGGGATGCAGTGCATATTGAATGGATACAATGGCTGTGTGATAGCAGTTCTGTACCAGCAGAAAAACATGCACATTTTTAGGTCACTTACACTTCAACCATGGGGATTTCAACCTTGACTGCTTTGCTTTTGTGATGTGGTTTCTGTATACGCCAGTGGGTGAATGAGAGGGAGGACTTTGTACCCAGGGTGCAGGAGAGGGAATGTGCTACATCCCCATCCCTGGCAGAGAGTGCCCAGCATGTGGTCAGCCAAACAGGTAGTGCCCAAGCAGGGAGGGCACACCAGCCTGAGGAGAATGCTCACCAGGGGCTGGCAGTAGTGCTGGGGGACCTGTTTCCAAGCAGTGGCAGGGGTGGCTGTAACATCTCAGATGTCCACATGTTCTAGTGCGCGGGAATGCTGTTAAAAGTGTGTGAGTCTTGAAAGCCATTACTCCACTTACAAAGTGGGCAAACCAGCTTGTTCAATAACTGGTAGGTTCTTCAGTGTGAAGATGTTCTCTACTGAACAATTTTGCTACTATTTTGAGAGTCCTGCACAGGTTCATGAGCATTTTCAGTGATCTTGAGACCACAAAGTATGAAGTTTAGAAAATTAAAGGATGTTTTGTCCCTGAGGTAAGGGGAGTAAAGCAAGAGCCTCTTAGAAAGCCTGGGTGCTGGTTTTGTGCCCATAACTATGTGTGTGTGGTTTCCAGCTGAGGAAGGAAGTGCTGCTGGGGAGGTGGGAACCTCTGGGTTCTTGGGCCACAGCTGGAGCTGCTGCCCTGGCTCTGGGGAGTCACTCGGTGTCCCCTTGCTGTTACAGCTGTCTCATGCAGGCTTTGGCTGAGAGCATTTGAAAGATTGGATGCAGTTTAAATAAATTATAATATACACATTTTGTTTTCGTTTGTAGAGTTCACAAATCACTGCTGTGTATGCAGTGCTGTGATAATGGAAAACTGATAGCTGCATGCAGACATGCTTAAAGAGGAGTACAAAGGCACATACTAATTCAGAATTCTGGGTTTTTGCTCCCTATAATGCAACTCAGCACAATGATATTGACAATATAATATGAAAGTATGCATATATATCTCCCTAGGAGAGTTGCTATATTACTTTCCATTCGCCTATGTTAGATTTCCATCAAAATATCTGATACAGTTATTTTCTTTTAATTTTTTCATTGTTGTATGAATTTCACTACTTCTATTACATTGTAATAAGAGTGCTAGTCCAGTGCCACGTGTCTACGAGTCTAACAGAGGAGGAAAGATGGAACAAATAATGTCCATATTTAAAGAGGAGAATTCTGAATTCAGTGAAATGGCAGAAATTTCAAGGAATTGGTTTATGTGTCTGATATTTTTTGAGACAGAGTTGACATTGCTTAACATTTCAGTATTGTGTTTAAAGTTAGCATTATGCATGTATTAAACTGTTTTTTGTTTTTGCTTTCTCAAAATGCCACAGAGAACAGAAATGTGATGCAGTGGGTAGGTTCACCAAAGCAATGGATGATGGAGTTAAAGAGCTGCTGACAGTGGGACAAGAGCACTGGAAGAGGTGTACAGGGCGTAAGTGTCCTTCTGAACTCAGCACTCATTTCTGTGGTGCTTTTCTCTCCTTTTTTTTTTTTTTTAATGTGTATAATTCAAGACACATCTTTAAAGAAACTCCTAAATTATCATGGGAGTTGTTCAGCATTCTGGCTATTTTCAGTCTAAGAGTATAAACTGTGCAAGTTTTTTGTTAATATGTTTGATGTGGGGCTTTTTGTTGGGTTGTGTGGGGTTTTTTTCTTTATCTCAGAAATATCTGTTCCCTGCCTAGAGGTTTAAAAATACTTAAAGGTAAATAATTCTAGTAATGCAGCTAATGCCCTTGTTGGACCTGTTCTCATATATTGGTCATTTATTTGAACTTTAGTGACATGGGCAAAATAGACCTGTTTATTTTATGAAATCATACTTTCAAATAATTGCATCTTATTAACCCCTTATTTAGGATCCTTGCATGCTAGGAGGAGTGATTTAAAGATGAAATGAGTTTAAGAGAAAAAGAAAAGAAAAACCAACTTGATTCTAACTTAATCTTTAGCCCAATTCTTTTTTTTTTCCTATCTTGTCTCTTCCTTCCCACAGATATTTAGGGTTGCAGAACTTCACACCAAGTCCCTATGACTCTGCCTGGGCTCTAATTTCCTAGTCCACAGCAGTGTTCAGTGTTTGTGGCCACCACAAGGCAGCTATTGAAAGGAAGCAGGTACTACAGCTGAGGATCATAATAAGAAACACTTCAGGGCAGGCTGTAGTGTCTGGCAACCAAAGACCTATCACATAAATCTCCTTGAATCACCCTAATTTTTTTATACTCCTTTAAACTCCCACAAAAAACCCCAAAACATTGTTCACAGAACTTAAAGTATATCTCCTGAGTTATGTTTTTGCCTCTTACTAATCAAACACTACAGCTAAATATTTGGGGCTGACCAGAGAGGATGGCAAGCGTAGAAGTTCCATCTCTCATGGGAGTGACTACATTAGACTTTAGTATCTATAGGTTGTTAACTTTAAATTATTTACATTTCTCAACTTTGAAGAAAGGGTTTCCTTCTACACACCACTGACCTTCCTGCTGGACAAAAATAGTCTAACACATGACAGAGCTCTAACATAGTACAGATCTTGCTTCATTAGCAAATTATACTGAGGGGAAAGTGGAGAACAGGGGAAGGAATAAGGTTCCTCAGATGAGACTAGAAAAACAGCATTGCTTTCCAGGTACAGAAGCAATGATCAAACCAAGGGCTGGCTGTGACTTAGACGCTAGAAATTCAGTATTTTTTTAACTGCCAAACTCTTCCTGAACTTACAACACTAGTGCTTTAGATACCAAATGACTCTTCTAATACTTACAACTTTTAATTAGTTAGCATACATGCAGCAATACAGTTGTGATTGTGTTTTTTAAAATCTTAAAATTTTAAGGGTTTTTTTAAACTTTTAATTTTCCAGACATTCATACTGAATAAAAAAAAAAAGACTGGTAAACTGGAACATGCAATATTTTAGTAGTCTCTTACGTTTTAAGTTCCCTGTCAGCTCTAGACTTGACTGTTAATCAGAAGTATTTTTGGCACTCACTGAGCCATACTTACATGCCTTCCATTCAGTGAGATTTAAAATCACTGACAGTGGAAACTTCTTAAATACATGTGAAAATAAACCAAAGATTCTTCACTAAAGTTTCCATTGGAGATTCAGTATCAGTGTAATGGCTGATAACAGAACTCTAGTGCTCTAAATTGTACTCAGAGTGTAAGACAGACCAGTTATTGTAAACAGTCTGACTTCTGGAGAAGAGCTTGATCAAAGAGAATGAATTAAATTAGGCAGTTGGGGTGGGAGGTTGATTTGGGGAGTTTGTGGTAGATTTTTATACTACACAAAGGTGTTCTTCTGTAAAAATCAGATACTGTGGGATGCTAGAACAGCTAAAAACCTTCTATATTGCCTGAGCTGTGTACCCCCTGAATACAAATATTTGATAAAATCCATACCTACTTGGGGTTTTTTTCTGCTAGGATAGGCAGCATATAAAAAATTGCTTTTGCTTTTCAGATTGCTTTTTAGGCCTCTGGAGTGGTGTTGTTCAAAGTGTTAATAATGAATGCACTCATAAATCACAGCTGATTGATGTAATTGTGATGGAGTAATTTATGCATGCATATTCAATAAATAGATTGTAAAAAACAATTTTATTATTCAGATACTTGCATAATTTTTATATCTAGATAATCTTGGTTTTAGTGCCTTTAAATACAAAATTCATGATTTGTGGAGAGTTTAGGTATTATGGGTCTGTATAACAATCTCCTCTCTTAAAATATTAATGACACCTATTCTTGATATCACACTGGAGCACTTCCCCTCTTCTTCCCCCATGAGGGGGAGGGGGAAAAAATCTCACTGTATGCATGGGGGGATTGAGCTAGAAATGCAATGAGATTTCATTTTTTTTAAAAATAGCATTCACACACAGTTTCCCCAACTGTTTGTACCTTTAAAGAATCCAGATTGCAATTGCTTTATCCAGTTTTGGAGCATGTGTAGCAGGGGAGGGGGTAAAGAATAGGATTGTAAATGTGTCACTAAAGAAAATGTAAAACGTAGTTGGTTTTGACATCTGCTTCATCAAGTTTTGGAAATGCTGCAGATTTAGTCTCACTTACCCATGTCGGTTTTTTGCTTTTGTTTCCCCTCCTTTCTTCCTCCTTTTCCCACTTTCAGCACTACCCAAGGAATACCAGAAGATAGGAAAAGCATTGCAGAGCCTGGCACTGGTCTTCAGCACTAGTGGATACCAAGGTACTTCCATAGATTCATTTGTACTTTGCTTAAAAAGAGGTATTTAATTACATCATGTTACATTTCTTTTTCTGAAGATCTTAATGCTTTCCTCTTTGAAGTTTAGATGTCAAACAGGGTTCTGGAAAAAATTCTAAAACCTTTCTTTTGTGTATGTTATGGGGTTTTTATGTTCTAGTCTGCAATCTTGTCTTCTTTCACTGTATAATCTTGTGGTGGGTTGATGGTGATGGAAGAGTTTAGTTTGATCTCTTAATATATAATCTGGTCTCTGAGCTAACTGACCAAACATGCTGGAGCATGTTTGTGTTATCAAGGGAAAGGAGAGAAAAATGCAAACAGCTGTCACAGAACTATTGTGTGACTTCATGATACAACAACTCCACACATAGATGGAAGACTTACTACAAAGTTTTATTATCCATTATGTGGGCTGGCTACTGTAGCCTTTTCTGTAGGGTTGGCTATTGCAGCCTTTTCTTGTCCTTCACCTTTGCTTCTCCTTCAAGAGCCCTAAAAAAGAGCCTGTCCTGTTAGGTATGAGGGAGGGAAAAGGAGGGCATCAATTGCTCAAAGTTTTCCTAAAATGTCATCTTTAGACCAAATTTAAAAGATGTTAAGCTCTACTGATGTTTTCCAGACAACTGGAAAATATTTCCTCATAGACAGAGGGTGCCTGTTGAGTCAATTTTCCCTGAGATTCTCCTTTCAAAGGTGTTTGAGGTTTTGGGTTTTTTTCTTTTTATACTGGAAAGCAAAATTACTGTGTTCTAAAACCTTAAATGCTATAGTATAGAAGCCTACTGAAATGTGTCCTTAGAAACAATCTTAGAAATTTTAGTTGACCAGTACTTACTCATCTATATCTTGCTTTATAATCTTAAAACATTTTGCCCCATAAATGATGTACTAAAAAGCAACCACCTGAAACACAGATTTCTCTGCTGCTGGAAGTTTTGGAAACAGGCATTGTGCCCATAGCTTTTCCTCATCTGCGTCCTGTACTGCAACAGGATGACTGCTTAGTTAGAATTGAGCACAGCAAATTGCTTCAAAGTCACTTTTGGATGTGAGACTGAAATAGGGGATTTGCATGGTTATGTATTCTTAGCATGGGTTAGAAAACTGTAAATCCTGCCTGGATAAAATCCGTAGCAAGAAGTCTTGAGAGAGAACTGAAAATTGCTTGGGTTCTAGCACATTCTTTTGCAGGGTAAAGGGAAAACTGTATGTTATAGTCCCTATATATTCCCTATATATTCCCTATATAAAGCTAGGATACAAAATTGCAGATCAGCCTTAGAAAAGAAAGCTTTGATTTGATTTCCAGCATCTTTGATTGGTATGAAAAAATTGATCCCATGATAGTTTGGGAAAAAGGCAGGCATGTCTGTCTTTGCTTTTTGCCCAGTCATAGGTGGTTGCACCTGTATCTGGTTGAGAAAAGTACCCTTCCTACAGATGCCTTTGCCTTGATTCCGTGTTTTGCTTTTTTCAATAACTTGTGCCCTTGTATTATTTCCAAATTAATAATATATGGGATTCTTTGCTTTTTAATTTGAGTTCCCAAGAAGAGAGAGCAAGATGTAGATGTGGCTTTAAATGGCTTCATCACTTCTTCTCTCACTGTCCTGCCTGCTGCTCATATATGGATTCACCTGATCATTCCATCAGGTACAGGTCTATGGATTAATCAGTCTCTGCAAGAGATGTAAGCACCTGGATTTAAACTGAATAGGGCACAGCTTTCCAGGTGTCAGTATATAAAAGAGGGCACATTGCTTCCAATGAAGAAATAGTAGCTAAGTTGAGTGTGATGTATGATTTTTCTGGACTGTCAGTAAAGAGGAATTACTTATTCAGCCATGCTTAAGGACACGCAGTTCAGTTTCTGTTGGGAGCTGAATCTCTTCATCCTTTGCTTTTTTTTCATTTGGTTGGGTTGGTTTTTTAGATTTCTTGTAATACTAGCATTCTGAAAGTTTAAGCATGTAGGCCACTGATGATTGCAATGACAGAATTGATGACAGAAACATTTCCAGATACTGGTAGCTGACTTCTGACATACTGCATTTACTGTTAATTGTTCATTTGCATAGTCAGGATGAGATGTATCTATTGCCTGTACCACTTTCATCAGTGATGCCTTGCTCTGCAAAGCTTTATGTGTAGTGATGTCTTCCGCCTTCTCTTCTGATTTCCAGCCTAAAATATTCAAGATTGCACCAGCCAAGATACACTTGTTAATCTGACTCTAGCTCGTTTCCTCGTGCTACAGAATGAGCCTTATCTATTTATTGTCAGCCCCAGTGTGTTAGGGATCTGTCCCCAGTATTTGCAGAGGCAAGGGTACCTTTAAAACTCTTAAGGACACTGAGAGGTTCTGATTTAACTTGGCTATGGGCTTATGTACTGTCCAGTTGGTTCAAGAATGTGCACTTTGCAAGCATGATCCAGGTCCAAAAATGCATATTGGACAGTACCAGAACATGCCTGGAAGTGTCCTGCAGCCTGGCAATGTGTTGCCTATGCTACTGTGTCACAGGATACTCTAAGGTTAACACAGCCTTAAATAGCATGGCTTCTCTTTTGCGGCACCAAATCTGGAGGAGTCTTTCTCCTATATTAAGAAAATGTGAATGACTGGTATGCCATTCAACCATAGTAAACTCTCCTAATCCTACCTCACCCCTCAGGAATTCTGTTAGGCAGTTACACACAAGTTTCGCTATGCTGTCAGCTAGCAACAGGCAGATCCTGCTTTACAAGCTGCTTGTGTGCTGAACTTATCAGGTTGAGGTGTACTTATCAAGAAAAGCTTTGCTGCATTTGCTGCTAGTAAATCAAATTTTGTGATTTTTCCTACTGAATTATATTAAAATGTACTTTGAAAGAAAAGAAAACAAAAATACTTCTTGACAAAAAAAATTTCTGTCCCAGTCAAGGCTTGGAGTACTAGTTCCCCCAATATGTCTGCTGTATTCCTTCTGAAATTATCATCACTGGCATTTACCAAGCACCTGGACTGCTAAGAGATGTTCTATGACACATCTCCAAAAGGCTCCTCATAGTTTTACGTCTTTCTTAATCTCCTTGTGACAGTATGAAGACTGTAAATCAATGAAAATACCTGTTTCTCCTTGTGGTTGGGTTGAAATACCTGTGGAATATTAATTCCATTTTAATGCTCTTTTTATAGCTACCTTCAGTCAATGCTTTTAGGCCCCCTCTGTTTCTTGTGGGGATATATGTACTCAACACTAAACATAATTTTGTTATAAATGTTAGCAACATGTGGGGCTTTCTGCTACTCCATTAATTAATGGACTGTTGACATCCTGATGTATCCTTGCACTGGGACCCAACTCAGCTTTCACAGACTGAGTTAGGAAGGCAATTCCCAGCTTTGCATTGGTTCAGAAGCTGAGAATGCTAAAAATTAAAGATGATTGGTTTTGGGAGGGTTTGTCTAGATCCTTTGAAGCTCTGATCTATGAAGGTTTTCCTTGAGTCAGTACAGAAGGGGAGGATTTTGTTGTTCAACTTAAATATACATACATATTCTTCCTCTTATTTTTTTTTTGTCAGATATGGAAAGTTACCATATTTCATGGCATTATAAAATGAACAGCAAACATTTAGACCAATGTGGCTTCTAACTCTGAAGCCACACCTTGTTTTATCCCAAAATCTAGGAGTCAGTTGCCTAAGCAGCACTTACTTCAATGTTACTTCTGAGCAGACAAAAGAATTCTGAAATACTGAAAATACTTAAGCCTTAAGCCTGAAATAATAAAATTAATCACCTTCCAATTTTTTTTATTTTTTTACAAAAAGGTGAAGATATGTAATGAATTGTGTACCTCTTGAGTCTCACAATGGGAATTAGTCTTGGTGGCTTTATTTTTATTTTATCCTAACAGGCCCAAATAGAAAAATAATTATTTGTTTAGCAGTGTTTGTGTTACTGGACTCATTAGTTCTTAGGATTGGTCACTTTGCCTCAAAGCTTTTTGACTTTATGAAACCAATCTAATGTAAAGTAGGAATCGATTGATAGAACTGAAGCAACATTCAGTCATTAACTTGTTTCCTTAAGGAGATGCTAAAATGCAGATTAGACCATATGTTGTAGTAAAACAAGATACTTTATGCTCAGATTAATCATTAATGAAATCTATGGTACTTTTCAATTAAGTCACAGGTTAATATCTGTACAATAAAATCAAAAAGTTCATAAAAGACTAACCACTGCCTAATATCAAGACATGTCTGAAAGTATAAGAAAACTTTTTTTCTTAAACTGAAGTTTGATATCTGCAAACTCTACCTTCGCCTTTCTACTCTCTACCTCAATTTGCTTTCTGTACTGTTGACTACGTGCTTTGGACAAGCTAACATGGATGGGAAGGTGAAGTTGCATGAAACATACAAGAATGTAAGGCTTGTTTCCATCTTTGACCCACGTAGCCTGTCCTGTTAGTACTACAGTGTTATGAGTGCTTGTGCTGTTGTCTAGCTTAGGATTTATGGTGATGTTTGTATTGTTAAGCATAGATTGTAGGGTCCTTTGATCCGTTTCATATGAGGATGAAAGTTAGAAACTCACTCTGAAAAGCAGTGATTTTTAGAGGGCTTGAAAATATTGTCTAAGAGTTCCCTAAAAGATCAGAAGTCTTGGTGTCCAGGAAAAAAGTTTCTTGGGCCTCCTTTTGCTTCTCTGACCTTTGAACAGTTATGGTCCAGGACTGTCAGAGAGCTCAGGGGTAGTAGCACATCAGCTTTGTCAGTCCATCTTTTGTAACCCTTCTCATTCTTCCATCCTTTCCATCCTGGTAGACCTCCTGTTGCCCCATGTGGAGGAATACCTGTGTATTTAAACTGCATAAAATAATTAAATGTGGAAGTAAGTAGTGCTAGTACTGTGGTAGAACAATGATTTTCTACAAGATCGTTAGTTTTCCTCCTTTAATGTTTTTAAAAATTCTTTATTTCTGCTGGTTATAAAAGGATGGCTAGCCATTTATTATTGTAAATAGGCTATTTTATAAATTTGCCTTGAATCAAGGCAAGTTTCTTGTTGTAACTGACCTACTGTAATTTGAACACTGATGTTTACTTCTAGGAGAATCTGATCTCAATGGAGCAATAACAGAAGCAGGGAAAACTTACGAAGAAATTGCCAGTCTTGTAGCAGATCAGGTAGGAGTGTTACCAATGCAATGGCACAATGTGTATACAAACATATCACCTATTTGGATTTCTTCTGACTTTTCTTTTTTCCTCTTTGATTAAAATATAGCTGCTAGTGCTATAGACCAATTAAATTGCTATTAACACTTTTAAATGCATTATCATCTTCTTTTCTATTCTGTGTCAGGTCTGGGGGAATGTGATGAGAGGGCATTTCTGTTGGTCAGAAAGCCCACATTCTGGTTTCTTAAATACTAAAATGATTGTTTGGTCTTGAAATGTGTTCATTTTTTGTTGTCTGTGAACTGTCTTCATTACTGATACAAAAGAATGGTATTTAATCAAGGACAGAGTTTCTGCCTTCCCTCTGCATTCCCCAAATGTCTACAGGATCCAGATTTTGCTGTTCCTCCATGTGGGGGAGTACCTGTATACTGAACCTGCTCCATTGCCTTTACATGCAGTTGCCTGCTTCAGTAAAAATCTGGCTTAAATAAACCTTGATTGGTATTCAAGACATACATTGATGTTTAGCATGTTATGCTTAAAGTCTCCAAAATGCAGATCCTCTTTATCTTCAAGGCCAAGTCTGAAATTTCTTAAGACACCTTTCCACTTTGACACCTAAGGAGATGCACCTGTGCATGTACATATTTGTATATGTAATGAGAGACTGCTCTGGAAACTCTTCTTGGGTGAAAAGGCAAAACCCCATCACTTCATGAGCTAGTGTTAAAAGAACAGAGGCATCTACACAATTATGCTCAGTGCCTTACTCTAAAAAGCTTACCTTTTTTAAAAAACCCTTTTCATATATTAAAAACTTGCATAAACAATTCATATTTTGGTTTGGTTTTTCTTGATTCATTCCCTTTTTTCCCCTTTGCCCTCTCTTGGCATCATAGTTTCTTTTCTATGATGTTAATTTGCACAGATACTTTTACTTACATGTATGCTTTGTTTATTAGCCAAAGAAAGATCTTCACTTTTTGATGGAAACAAATCATGAATACAAGGGATTTCTTGGTTGCTTCCCCGACATCATAGCAGCTCATAAGGTATGTGATGAGCCTTTCTTTTTAAGTGCTGGGCAGTGGGGACACAAGCAAAAGGGGTGGTATGGTACCTTGCATTTGTGTAGCAGCCTGGCCCCTGCTGCTGAAACACTGCAAGTTCTGCGAAACTGGCATGCTGATTTTTAAAATAAGACGTACTTAGAGGGAAGGAAAACTAGAATTTCTCTCAATAATATCATGACTTTCTGCCATAGTAGAGCATGATTTTCTTCAGGTTGACTTCATGTCCCAGTGGGGTGAATAGCAGTAGTGTAAATTTGTAATATTTGAGCCTTATGTGATAGTTGATAATAAAACCATATGAGTATTGTAGGAAAACTTGTGTACACTTGTGTGGCTGGCTTGCTGATATGTGATAAATAATCATGCACTGCATTGAAGTTTCTTTAATATCAAAACCCAGAGATCAGAGATAAGCTCTAACATTTCTGGGGGGGGAAAAGCCAAACAAAATACCAGCAACAAAACCCAACCATTTTGTTCTCTGTAATACAAAAGCCACGGTGTATAGTTTTGGATATTCTGTTTTGTTTTAGAGTTTTCCTTATGGTCTGCTGCAATGTATTTAAGGAAACTAAATATTGTGAAGTATTAAAACAAGTGCACAAGTATGTGAGGTTGGGGTTTTTTGATCACTTGAAGTGTTAAATGTATAAAACAAGAACATAAGAATATACTTCTAAAAGCAACAAAGAAAAGCATATCAGATATGTGTATTCTTTTTTCAGGACGTTTGCAGTCCTTCATCCCACAGAATCATTGGGGGGAAATACCATAAAAGGAGAAGAAATGTTTTTAAAACTTGAAACATAAGCCTACTGCCAAGAGATATGTAAAAAGATTCTCTTGCATGTTGTTTGGCACAAATACATTGTGTAGGGGAGGCATATCTTTTTATGCTTGTTATCTGTGTGACTCAAGAATTTTCCTGAATCAATGGCTATACATTGCATTGAGTTGTAGTCTCTTGAAAAACAGTGTTATGTTGCCTTCTCTTGTAAAATGTGCAGAGATGGTTCTACAAGCTTTTGGATGTCAGTTACGTTGTTAATCTGTAATTTGAAACTTGGTCCATTTGTCCTTTTTGTATATATTCTTGTGCATTACTGCCTGTACCAAACTCATTTTGCTGATGAGTCTGATCATGCCTATGCTGGAAGTCACTTTTTGCAAGGACTCTTGGGATCAGTAAAGTGAAATAACAAACTTTGGATGAAAATGTGAGAAGGCAGAATCGATCATTTTGTGTACATATGAGTACTGAATGCAAACTCAAAATGTAGCTAGTGGCATTTTAGATGACTATGAACACCCCTAAGTTGACTACTCTTTTAACCTTTCTGCATTTGGTTTCTCCAGGGAGCAATAGAACGAGTGAAGGAAAGTGACAAGTTAGTTGCAACCAGTAAAATAACGCCACAAGACAAACAGAACATGGTGAAACGTGTGAGCACCATGGCTTATGCACTACAAGGTAAACCAAATTTTGAGCTAAATGGCAGTGTTGTAGACCTCTGAAAGACTTCTGTTAAGCATCATACTTTGAAAGAAAATCTTTTGCTACCAGGAATAAAACCTGGGCATGAGTTATTTGTGGGGGCTTTTTTGTGACCTGCTTAGATTTTTCTAAATTGCAGTTATTTTGCCTCTCTCTTTTTTTTTAAATCTCACATTGCTATTGCAAAAGACACATATTTTGAAAATGCAATTTAAAAACCCCAAAACAGCTTCCCCAGACTGATTCTTTGATGTGAAAGTAATGTCTCAAATAAAAGCATGCACTCTGGTGCAAGAAGCAGGTCATCATTAGCAGAAGTGTTTTTCTGACCTTTAGTTTAGTCAGACATAATCCATCTCCCAGCTGAGATTCATGTTCTTTTTGATAAGATCTTTATTTCCTGGATGTTTATCTTTTTCCTCTTTAGGTTAGAGGTGTTGTAAATATAAGGTGCAGCACACTGGGGAAGTGAGTAGTCAGGGCTCAATCCTGCAGGATATCAAGCCATTAAGTGCATCCTGTTACTGACTTCAATGAGATTACTCATTACTGAGGGGGATGCATCATTTTTGGATGATTTAAAGACAAGAGTACTCAATATATTATGTGACGAAGTCAGAGCAGCACACAGAATTGATTTTAAAGATAACCTCATCTCCTAAGAAAACTCCTCATCACCTTCCTCTTAGTAACAGTGACGCAAGAGGATTGTGTTTTATGTGTGATAATTGTGGAAGAGACCTCTAGGATGACTTTTACAATGTAGCATATTTCTTCTCCCTCCATTGATATCCCAAAATATATTTTAAAACTTCTTTCAGCCATAAGCTGTGATCTGAGATGTAGAAATTGATGTAAGGTGTTGCAGATTCAGTAATGCTGTTTCTCAGGTATCTATTGAAACACCGTAAGTCAAGGAGTCACACACTACTGGCTATATCTTTTTTGTTGAGCTAAGTATTACTGTAAGCTGTTGGCTTACAATTTGATATCTATACCCTTGGAAATCTGAATGTCCAAGCCAAAATTTTATTGGAAAGCCTTCAGGAAGGAACAGTTACCTCAGTAGAAGAAAGTCCTGCTCGTATTTTTTATTGAATCTTTTTGCACCTGAGTGTTGTAATACAAGAACCTGGCTTTGTCCAGGAAGCACCCAGGTTGATGTGTAATTGACCCCCTAGCAATCTGACAAACAATTTCACTATAACTTGAGTGCTGCAAGCAGAACAGGTTGTGGAAGCATGAGAACAGTCCTCCCCTGCTGGCAGGGCTGGACACTGAGCTTGCTGCAGAGTAACTAACTTGAACTGAGTGAAACTGTTCCTAATTATAAATGCCTCTGTTAAATAATTTGTCTCCTGGGTCTGCTTGCAGCTGAGATGAATCACTTCCACAGTAACCGGATCTATGACTACAACAGCGTCATTCGTCTCTATCTGGAGCAGCAGGCGCAGTTCTATGAAACGGTAAGGACAGGGCTTCAGCACTGCTGCCTGGGCATGTACTGTGCTGCTGCTTTATAGGAAATGCAGTCTTTAATCCATGCTCCCACAGAACACCTATTTGAAGAATTGTACAAAAAATTGTAAAAGGAATTGTAAAAAAAACCGAGAACTGAAAGAATGAGTTAAAATATTTTCCTATAGATACTGTCTTATGTACATGATTGTTACAATTGACCCAGGAGAACTAAGAACCACTGTTCAGAAACCACATTGTTGATAGCTTGACTTTTTTCTTCCCCCCAATGCCGGTACTAGGGTTACAAAGAATTTTTGTTCTCCAATGTGTAGTAAGCAAGGCCTGCTTACAGGCCTTCTGCTGCACTGAACAGAACAATAAAACATTTCAACAAAACTTTCCTCCCATAGGATGGGAGTGAGAAGGGAAGCTTTTGTGATTTAAAGCCTGATATAGACAGTGTGGGGCAGGAGGGACAGGAAAGTTTCAGGTGACATTAAATATTTTAAATCTGAGCACTCTCCCTGTAGTTCTCATTTGACAATGTTCTAATACATGTATCCTTTGTGATTTTTAAAAAATAAACCAAGGACAAGCTTTCTAATGTGATATGCTGATAAAACATTTGAATTTGAATGTGCTGCAGCCTGACTTCTATCACTAAAAGGAGTGTCATGAGTAACTGGTGCCCCTTCACAGCCATAAAAGTCGCCAGTGGACTTCAGAGGTATCTTCAGTGGGTGACAACTCTAGGTCCCCCCATCAGGTCATTTTGCTTGCTTTTCTTGAAACATCTGGTGGGGTTAGGCTTAGGTTGCCCCTTACCATCATTCAGCCTCTTTTCCAGTCTATTTCAATCCTTCTGGTTGCAGCCTCACCAGTTTTCTTCTACCAATGCTCTCTCCCTCAGTACATATTCATGTGTGGGGTCATGGCTACCATGAGAACTGTGGGGAGTGCACAGGAGCTCTGTTTTGATGTTTCAGCCTTGCTTCAACAGGGAAGTGGGTTTCCTGGAAAATCTGGCTTTGTTCCTGTAGCTCTCTGGTGCAGTGCAGTGCTAGACAGGCAGAATAACAGCCCTGCCTACAATGCTTTCTCCAGCACAACTGGAGCAGTGAAAGTACCAAATTAACAAGGCAGAAAGTGTATGTAATGGAATGTTTTGAGAGTCCTGCATACACAAAACCTGCAGTAATGCTTGCAGTTTTTCATCATATGAGGGAACACCTAATTTGTTAGTCTGCAATCATATTCCTGCACAGTGTAAAGCAACTACACATTAAATATCTTCTGTTTCTTTGTTTCAGATTGCACAGAAGCTGAGGCAGGCACTCAGCCGCTTTCCTGTGATGTAGAGAATAAGGAGTATTCAACAATACAGAACAACTCCAAAGTGCTTTTCTGTTGTGGGGGCAATGCTAATAAAAACTTGTTAGCCTTTGCAAAAAAAAATCCTAAAAAACCCCAAACCAACAAGAATCAGTTGTTAAAAAGTATTATTTCAAATTTTACTTTATCAGCCTAAATCATACAGTAAGGCTCTCCTGTCTTGAAAGCTCTCCCATTTATATCATTATTTAAATAAAAACAGGTGGGTAATGCTGTCACTTATAGGGATCTAAATTATCAAACTGATATGTTGCCATGGACTTCACAAAGACTTGTCTATCAGATGTTATTCCAAAAACTCTGCATCAACACCAGAGTGACACATTTGTAGCTTTTTTCTTTTTTTAATGGGAAAACAGACAAACTTAAGAAAATTACCTAATACTCATTATATTCAGTTGAGCTCTCCAGCAATTCAGTAACCAGGAGGAATTATATTCATGTATGTTCCTGGCACATGTTTGTGATATCTCCTGAATGAATGCCTTGTTCTTAAGTTTTGCTTCCCATATGCAGCCATGGCATCCTGCTCCCAGTATGACTTCTGGTAAATATAAATCATTCTTCCCTCTCTTCTTTTTCCTTCTAACTAAATCTTGTTCTTGTGGCACACCACCTCGGAGCTTATGTCAGGCTCACTTTTTCACTATGCACTGTGTAAGAAGACAAAGTACAAACAAGGAACGAGCCATTCAGGAAAGTGTGAAAAACAGTTTTCCAAACCAGCACTTTGACACCCCCAGTGTTATGCCATAAGGCACTGGTGTTTCTCAGTGCTCTACAGGGCCAGCTTCCCCTCTGACAGTTTGTAGTGTTTCAGCAGAGGGGACAGTGCCACATCTAACCCCAACTAGTAGACATCCCCAAATTCCAGCTAAGCTCAGGTCTTCGTGTAGTAGTGTGGTGTGCTGTTGGTTCAGGTGAACTTTTTGTTGCCTTCTGATGCAAAATCAAAGGTGACAAAAGTACTGAATAGCATCATTAGTTATTACACAAACTGTTCTTTGATCATCAGCTTTTATCAAGTGACTCAGTATCCTCTTCCATACTACTGAAATACCATTTGAGGCCTTGGCTTTTCACAGAATCAAACCAAAAAAAGCCACCACTACTGTGTTCAGAATGGGCACCAAGTACAGTAACTCATTTCTTGCCATAGGCAAGCAGGAAAGCCAAAATACAGTTTCTACTAAAATGTGCCTAGAAAATAAATATTTTAATTTAAAAAAAACCAACTAAAAAGGCATTTTACCAATAAGCCATTCTAAGTGACGGGTACATTCTGCCAGTTCAATAGTTGCCTTACTCTGTTTTGCATTGGTGTTACTTTTCTGTGCTAGAAGGAAAATCTGGGTCTGCCTGAATAACCTGAAACCAAACCAAGCCAGACTAGGCCTAAGTCTAGATGCTTCTTAGTGTCACGAGTTTTGTTCACCTTTTATAAACCTTGTCTTTTTCTCCTCCCAATTTTAGTTTGCTTCCAAAATTCCATAGAGCAGTGTTGTTTGATACAGCCATTTAAATATGTACAAATTGTAAAGAATGTGTATAAATGTTTTACACCAAATGTAAGATCTGCTTGCATGTAGAAGCAGCTTATATAATAAATTGTTACAATGTGTACAGTAAATTCTGAAATCACTTTTTCAAGCCAGCATTTTTTTAGCATTTGTATATTCACTTTTTGGTAATGAAATCTCTTTGTAACAGACTCTTCTTTTGGGAGGGGGAAGGGGGTTCTTTTTACCAATCCTTAAATAGTTCCATATGCACTAAAGTTGAAAGCTCTTTATCTTGAATAGATTGTTTTGGAATCTTAAGTGTAAGCTCTGCATTCCCAGTGCAGGGAAGCTATGACAAGTAGCACTGTGTCAGATGCAACATTTTGGCAAAAAAAAAAAAAAAAAGGAAAACTGTTTAAAGATTTCTAGTAAAATGAAGTTAAACTGATAATAAATATTTATGTATATCCACCAGAGTATTTTATCTTTTTTTTTTTAAACCATCCTGTTGGTTTTTAGCAGGGTGAATGTAGTATGAGGCAAATCCTCCCTGTAGCTTTTCACCAGCTTACACATGGGCCAGCTGAGGAATGAGGAAGCATCCGTGTGTGTTCCATAAAGCAGGCATCCCAACTGGATGGTATAATAGTGCTAGTGACTGCAAAGCAGCAAAGGCTACGCATATGTTGGAAGCTTTCTTTATTCAGGTCAGTGCAGCTCGTGGCTGATGGAACCCTCCTGACTGCAAATAAGTAGTAGAGCATAGTGCTACTGTGTGTTCCTGGCTTTGTGTCAGCATGGTGTTGACCCAGAATAGAAATTTGATTGTCTTTGATATTTGTTTTTTAAATTAGACATGAATAGTGGCAGAGTTTAATTGTATGTGTTGGGGTAACAGAGAATGTGCACACTAAAGATGTTGTCATAAAACAGAAATAGCAAGTTAGTGCAAGGCTTGAGCAGTGCTGTCCTGTGTTTTGTTTGTCATAGCTGAATAATTAGTCTGCAGCATCCACAGCCTTACTACTGTTTCCTGGCTTATGTTTTCCTTCCAGGGAGAGCCAAACACTGGCATTAGCCCAGTGACTTCATCAAAGACATCAACTGCCCAAGCTCTTGGGTTTAACTTTACACTTTAATTGCTTATTCTGTTACTGCAACTACATCCATTTTTTTAAAATAAAATGTAGCTGTACAGAGAGGAAGGATACCTGCATTTCTTGTTTGCAGTCCAACATGGAATTAGACTGCAGCAGTAGACTCTGTTATGTGGTGTCATTTCATTAAGTCCTAATTTTACATGAGTATGGAAATTTTTACACTCCCGAGCAGTTCCTGTTTTGTCACAAGATAAGTACTACCATAACATACACTAGATTCTGTAAATCCTAATTAAATAATACATCAATTTTACTGCTACCAAAATCAGTCTAGTTCAGGCTCTTAGAAGGAACTCAGACTAACAGCCTTGTAAAGAAAACTCTCACAAAGGAAGAGATGCATCTCTTGTGCTGTGGCTTAGTTTGACACGCACCAGACACTCTGCCAGTCTGAACTGGCCAAAATTACTCCCTCCACAGGCTGAGGAAGTGCAATCCAGCAGCAAGGGAAGCATTCACCAGGCAGGTGTCCTGCCACTGGTGCTTCTGCTTTTTGTAGGGCTTCCCACGAAGACGTGCGCATGCACCAGCAGGGGCCGGTTAGCTGGCAAGGGGCGCAGGGGTCTTTGGTCAGTGCTTTTGTTCTCATACTTTCCTATAACTCTTCTGATAAAACTAATGCTAACACCTCAGGTCACCACTTGAGCAGAAAAAACCCTTTTTCCTGTCTAAGCAACCCTAACAAAAGCAACCTTATAGAATTAGAAATATATTGACTGGCTGGTGACCAATCCACCCATTCTGTCGCGTGGCAATGTCAGCTACACCCATGCTGTTCTAAAGAACATCTGAGTCACAACTTGGATTAGCTGTTTTCCCTTTTTTTTGACTCCCATGACTCTTTGCACATGAGTTGGGACTCTTGAGATTTTGCAGCATTTAAGCTGGCTTAATTTCCTTGTCTTATAAAGAATGTGTTTGCCTATTTTTAATCTTCTGGGCCTTTTAATCTTTCCTGATTGGCCAGATTTTCTTAAACTATCCTAATTTTTTTGTGTTCCTTCAAATTCCAGCTAATATTCTTACTGCCTTCCTGCTGAACTTTCTGAAATCTAGGTTCTTCTCATTTACAGGTTTAAAAACTGTTTGCTTTGCAATAGGATTTATTAGTTTCTTTGAACTGATCCTGTCTATCTGAAGCCAGCTTTCTCATTTTTATTAAATATTGTTCTTCCCTTATTCTAACCTGTGGCTATATTCTGTTAAAATACATTTTTGTATGTCACAGTTTTCTGTTGGGGCTGAAGCAAGACTGCATGCAATACTTATTATTTTCTGTTAACAACAGACTTCTGCTACCCTTAGTTTTCCTTTTATACCTACCATCTTCAACAACTATTAATTTTTTAAATATATTTGCTGATAAACTTGTCATAGCACATATTTTTCAATTCAAGGTCACTTTTAATTCACATTGCCTTATGTTGCAATTAAATTTCAGTAGATCTAAATCTACAGTTGCTACTCTTCAGTGGTTTTTAGTCTTGTGAAATGTCATTCCCAAAAACCCCAAAATCTGATTGTTTTCCTAAAAAGTATGTAATTCTAAAGATGTTATTAAGTTGCTAGCTCCAAGAGGTTTGTTAGAGGTTATCTTAGAAGAACCACAAACAGTAGGATTTTTAAAATAACAGAAAATATAAAAAGATTGTAGGGACTTTATAAAATACAGTATTAAGTGGTTTGGTTTTTTTGAATTGTATTTTAGTTATTTGACCTTAGTTATTGACCTGTCCCAATTAAATTGCTTGTCAGAGCATCCCCCCCACACCCACCTGTGTGATTATGTGATGCCTCAATGACTAATGAGCTTAGTCACTCACAGGAGATGCAAAAATAGTGGGATAGCAGACTGAAGTTTATAGAATGAGGATTGTAAAGAACATGCTCTCTTCCTTTTGATACCACAGGAGAGGATAGAGGTTGAAAACAGGGCAGTAATAAATTGGAAGACAAGCCTTTTATTTGTGACCATTTATAACAGCATAACTGAAGAAAATTAGTCTGTTTAAAAAAACAAAACAAATACAGTTGTGGATGGAACTGGATACTAAATATAACAGTACTTCCAATGGCAAATCTAAATACTTACCAGCCTTCATTCAATCTGTAATTATATCAAGATTTAGGTTTCTCAATTACTAGCTGTTGTACTCTATAGCCCTTCATATGAGGAGTAGTAGCAGTTTCTAGGACTATGAATTATTTGGAATAATAATTATGTAAAATAATTTGCAAATAATATTGCCATTTCAGACACAGTTCAAGAAACATAAACTCTTTGTAATATTTGTAAATCTAGATAAAAGTTGATCTCTTAATCCTGTTAAATGAAAAGATTAAATGTATCATTTCATTATATTCACTTTTCTGTTTCATGTTTTGGAGGAAGAGTATCTCCCTGCTCCCATATGATCCTTGTACATTGCCTGCTCATCAAGACTTTTTTGGACCCATCAAAATTTATTGTACTTCTGACATACATTGCACTACATTCACTTTGCTGGCATCTCTGAGCCCCTGGATGTGCTGTAGGGTAGGAGGGGGTCATTGCTGGTATGTTCTTACCATTGTATAAGAGTATTGTGAGGGCTTTGGTAAGCACAGCACCCCCTTGCAATACTATCAGCACTCACAGCTGTACTATGAACCTCAAATATCTACTGGCATTTTAAACTCCCTTAAAATGTGAGAATCCAAACTTTGTGTTTGGTTGGGGTTTTTATGTCACTATAATATCCAATGGCAAGCTGGAAACAAAGCCCAAAATGAGGGAGTGATGCTGTGTATCCCAGTGTTCATCTATCTATATGTGATTATTTTAAATGAAATTCCGAGCCAGACACAGAATCTTGTCAAGCTTGGTGTATCCAGTAACTCATCAAGTTAAACTCTTGCAAAAGGAAAAGCTGCCTCAAAAGTAAGGGCCAAACAGGGGTGAGGGTAATTTTTCTGACTATTGACTAGTTTCTGACTAGTTGAGACATATTTTTAAACTCAGTAAAGATTTTGTTTAAAAATTCAACAGCTGGGAGAGAAGTGAAAACTTAAACATAGCATCTGTTGCATTATAGTAGGAAAATATAAGCCAGGCTGCTTGCTGCTGGGATGGATTTGTTGAGCTTGATATAACTGCCCCAGAAGATTCCCATCTGACTGCACTCACCAGGACTCCACCATTCCAGACTGGTTATGCCAGCAGAGAGAACTGAGTAAGAAAACTCTTCATGTGTCTTCCCTGTTTAAGTAGTGACACTTTTCTACCTGGTTACAAATTGGACCTACCAACCTTAAAGCAAGGACTTTTTTCCAAGCCTCTAGGAAGGAGGTAAGTCTAGAACATTTCTTCCCTACTTTGAGAATGTTTATGCTTGTTTGGCAATAGTAACAACTTGTGCCAGTCTTATCTGCTGCTTACAACCACAGTCTTAATGCTTGGCAGAAAAGAAACACATCCAAAAAAGTCTCCCAAACAAATAAATCCACAATGCAACTGTTCTTGAAAGTCTTCCAAATTTAAACTAAATTCTCAATCAGTAAGAGAAGGTTGCTATCCACAGACTACTGTA